GCTTCAGGGCTGGAAACTCTGACGGGCAGAGAGGCCTAGGTTGTCCTCCCCACCCCACCCCACCCCACACATCCGCTCTCACTGGGCCCCCTCCACCCATCCTCCCCACCTGGCCCCCAAATTTTGGTCCTGTGCTTCATCCAGAAGGGAGGCACAGGTGCCCTAAATGCGGCCATCCCATGGCAAGACCAGGCGGTGGAGGCAGCAAGCCAGGCTCCTTGATTTAATTCCTCTGCCCCTCTCTACACTGAGCCTGCCTCAGAAGAAGAGAAAAGGTCCCTGGAGTAGGGCAAAGTAGAGAAAGTGGGAGAGACCTGAAAGAGGGAACTGAAAGGGAAAAGGAGAGGCAGAGGTGGTTTCTAGGAGGACCCCGACACAGATGCCGTAGAGGAGGCAGGAGCCAGGCAAGGGCCCAAGGAAGGAAAGCCGAGGACGAGTGGCAGAGAGGGGACAAGGGTCGTAGAAGGCACTAAGGCGACAGAATAGGGAGCCAAGAAAAGGGACCAAGAGTGCAAAGTGGCTTATGAGCAGGCGTCCCCCAACATAAGGGGGAGAAGGCTGGGAAAGAGGGAGGTGCCCCCATTCCCTCCTCCGCCATCTTTTAGCTCCATCATAGTTCCCTGATGCAGGCTGAGAGGCTGAGGGCCAGGGCTGGTGTCACGGAAAAGAAAATGTGGGGGAACACTGAGGTCTCCCTCATGTCAGGAGTTGAAGCACCAGGAATCGGGGATTTTGAGGCAGGAAAGGCTTAACCCCCACAGCACCGGGAAGCAGCCAGCTCCCCTTGCCTCCTTCCCCCTTCGTGGCTTGCGGTCTCTCTTCCCCGCCTAGGCCCCCAGGAAGTGTGAGTGCTGGGGGTGGTGAGGTTAGGAGGGGGGAAGCGGCATATGGGGGATGGGGAAGTCGTGCACCAGCTTTGGAGGGGCTAGGATGGGGAAAGAAGGGCTCCGTAAAGGCCTTGGGCATCCGTGGGCAGAGGGCCTCTCCTGCAAGGCCCTGCCAGCAACCAGGGCAGTCACCTCAGCCCTTCGCCCTGCCTTCCCAACTAGGCAGTCCAGATGGCTTCAGCCCCTGGGCCCCAGAGGCCCTGAGGGGTGGGAGAAGCTCGGGAACTAGGACTCCTGGATCCCTGAGGACTTTGGACTGGCTGTCCTGTTTCCCCAGCCCCCTGGTCCAGCCACAGGCCAAAGCCATGCCTTCGTGCAAACTTAGTTCCAAAAAAACAGGAAGAGAACCTGAGGCTAGAGTTGGGGTGGGAGCTGAGGGATAGCATGGAGAAAGAAGTAAGGGGGAGGGGTGGCTGGCCAAGGTGCCATGGCATCAGGAAGAGCCCCCGGTCTCTCCATCACCCCTGACAGGAGGATATCGCAGCCTGGTCCTTATTCTCCCTCACCCCAAGCCGCTGCACCTGGAGAAGCCTGGCCACGCTCCCTTCAGGCTCCCTAGCAGAGCCTGGAGGAGGGGTTGGGGGGGGGCTTGGAGCGTGAAGGGGGGGCTCTGTGTGCCTGTGTCTCAGGCCCATATCTATTTTCTCCACTGCTAATCCTGGTTCCGCCTGCTGCCCCCCACACTAAGCCTCACTCCCCTAATCCCCAGGGTGTAGGGAAGGGGGGCCAGCTTTACTCAGCTGCCCTGTTCAGGGCCTCGTATCCCTGCTCTTCAGCTGGCTCAAGCCAGCAATGTTGGCCTTGGTGCCCCCTGCACTGGACAACGCCTGAGGTCAGCCCTGGAGAGAGTCCTGGCCTCCTTTTCCTTGTCCAGCTAGGGCCGCTGTCCTCTACCTTTTGGTTCTTGGTGGTGGACGTACCCTGGCAGGTGTCCTTGGACACAGAGGTAGTTGATAGGGGCTCCCACCTTTGCTTCATCCCACCTTTCTCACCCCGAGTCTTCCCACTACCAACGACGGGGCAGGCTTGACTCAGGGCCCAGTTTCAAGAGAGCTGCCCACTGGCTTGGCCGGTCTAGCAGGCCTGACAGTGAGGGGAGCCTGGGGGGGTGGCGGGAAAGGGGGGAGTGATGGGGCGGGGCCCCCAGCTCTTCCCCCTACCAGGCAAACAGACCAAACAGACCTCGCCTGGTTCCCTGGCATAGCTGCCCCTCCAACCACCACACACACCCATGCCCACAAGGTCTTAGCAAGAGGGGGCATGCCAGGCTGGGTGGGGATGGGCCGCCCTCATGGGGCGTCAGGGGGCTGGGCTCTCTGGGATGCAGAGGTGGGAAGGGTGCCTAAAGTGGGGTGGGCGTCCTGGCACTAGTGCCCCACCCTGGCAGAAAGAAGGGGGAGGCCTCCACCCCACCCACCCCTTCCAGGTGATGGGGCTAGGAGTGCCCCCTTGGCCTGGTTGGCACCGGTAGAGTTCCAGGTGGCACCTAAGTTGGCATGGGTGCCAGAGCCCTGGGTAAGGGCTGGGGGAGTTTCCCAGAAGCTAGAGAACTGTATGAATACCCGCCCTTCCCACGTGTGTCCTCTGCCTCTCCCCTCCTTCGTTGCTACCTGGTGGCCATGGGCATTGGAGTAGGACCTAATGGGTTAAATACCCACCCTTGCCCAAGCCCTTGTGAGTCGGTGAACCAGCCTGAGCCTCTGACCTGACAGCAGGGTCAGTGCCCCGCCACAAGTTGCCATGGAATCGGCCCTGGGGTGGGAGAAAGGCGAGCTTAGCAGCAGGAATGGGTAGGGTGGGGAGGGAAGGAGGGAGATAGGGGAGCCACGTGCCTTTGGGTGTCCAGCTCCTGGCCAATGGACAGTAAGGACAGCGCTGCCCGGCCCCCTTTGAAGGGACAGCATCCACCTGGGTCCAGGAAGGTGCCCACTACTTCTTAAGTGGCCATCGCTGCTGCTGCCCACTGAGTTTTTGTTTGTTCCTGAGTCCAGGAGCCCTTTGCCACTTGAACTATTTGTAATGTACATGCAAGAGAACCAAAGGGGACTGGAGAGCTCCCGCACTGCTTGGCCCCCAGGGAGAGAAGTGATTTGGGGACTTAAGCGGGGAACGGGCAGACTATTCTAAGGGTACCTAGGTGTGGCTTATAAGCCAAGATAGATACATGGGTGCTGATCGCTCAGGGCTTTTGTGCAGGTGTTTTTGCATCGCCATGCCGGTGTCAGGCAGGGAGAAAGGCACAGACAATGCAGTTCTTCTGTCCTAAAGAGGAAATGTGTGGCCCTTGACTCCACCAACCACCCCCCCGCCACCCCAACATACCTTTACCCATTGGTGACCAGGGCTGAGCAGCGATTGGGAGTGGCATAAAAAAACACCAACAAAATGTCAGTGGGACTTGTCCTAAAAATCATCTAGGTCAGTCTTTAATATTACAGCTGAGGAAACAGGCCTCCTTGGAAAAGGAAGTGACTTGTCCAAGGTCATGTAGCCGTTAGCAACCTGATTCCCTGGGGGTGATTTGAGGGAGGGAGACAGACCAGTCTCCAAGCAGTTTTCCCAGCAGAGTCCCTGTGCACAGTGGAATCTGCCCTCAGGCAAGGCCTTGCTTCTCCTTCCCAAGGCCAGAGCATTTACTGAACCCATAGTGTGTGTCAGGCACTGGGCCGCACTTGGTCTCATTTAACCTCGTCACTACCATCCTAGGAATCAGCTGGAATTATTCCACATTATAGATGAGGAAGGAGGTTCAGAGATTAAATCACTTGTTTAAGGTCACAGAGCTAATCAGCGCAGAATGAGGATTCAAACTTGAGCCTGGCTGACTGCAGAGCCCTGTTCCTTCCAGGCCCCAACTCTATCTCCAGTTGTTTCAGACCCACCAAATGTCAAGGCTAAAGGGCTGAGCCCTTAGGGCTTCTACTCCCACCCCCTTGTACAGCTAAGAAGACTGAAGCACAAAGAGAACTGACTTGCCCAAGCTCATTCAGCAAACTAGTAGCAGAGCCAGGACCTGAAGCAGATCTCTACACCTCCAGGCCAGGCTCACTCCACTACCCGTTCCCCTACCTCCAGCAGCCTTGGGATTGCTGGCAGCTGCCTCTCTGCCTTCTGTTGCCATGCCTTGTGGGGGAAAGCATAGAGTTTGGAAGATGGCCCTCTAGAGTTCGGGAGGCTCTCCTGACTGGCCAGGAATGGGAAGGGAGGAGAGGTGGGGTGATGGTGGTGGTGGTGGTGGTGGTAGCAGCAGAGGTGGAAAGGGGTGGGACTGGAACTTGGCCTATTGGCAGTGGGGGAGGGGTGGGGACGATGCTTATCTGTGCGGGGGCAGGAAGCACCCGCGCCAGCGACACCCCAGCAAAGCACTGCTTCTCCTTGGCCCTGTGGGGGAGGGAAGGATGTGGGGGGGGGGCACGGGATGCTGGGAGCTGTTTCCCTTTTGGCCTCTAGAAGAGGGAATATAGAAGAAGGGATGCATTTTTAGTGGTGGAGGAGGGGCGGGAGGAGGAAGAGGGTGCCGGGAAGCTGCCTCTCCTGTGTGCAGTGTTTTACAGTGTACGAAATGCTTTAGAGAGATAACTTGAGTTAAAGCACCTGACATGCCTCCAGCAGACCTTGGTCCAGTGTGAATCTGAAGTCTCATTGGCCTCTCTCTGGGCTGATAGGTTCCATCACAGACTGTTAACCCATTTTTCAGATGACTGAGGCTGGCTGCCACAGCCACCCACAGTCCTTCAGCCAAATCTTCATGAAGCCTGAACGAGGACCCAGGCATCCTCTCTCCCAGTCCAGTGCTCCTTCCAAGGGATGGGGAACGGGGCAGGTGAAACAGATGGGTCTCTAGGCAAGGGCCAGAAAACCAGGGCGCGAGCTCTCACAGAGGCTGAACAGTGGTGAGGAACACGGACTCTGGGCCTTCTGCCTGTTTTTTGAACCCCGTCCTGCTTAACTTGGAAAGTCATTTCCCTTGTCTTATCCTCGTTCTGTGAAATCAGTGATAACCGTTACGTCAGAGGGTTGTGGAAGCGTAAATGAGTGTAAAGAGCATACAAGAGTATCTGGCATCAGGAGCCTTAGCCAGTGTTGGTATTTCTTCCTTGGACTCCCTTGCAGGGCTGAGTACCCTTTCCCTCTACTTGACCCCGCAGGAGAAGATGGGGAGCCCTGAAGACGACCTGATTGGGATTCCATTCCCTGACCACAGCAGTGAGCTCCTGAGCTGCCTCAATGAGCAGCGCCAGCTGGGCCACCTATGTGACCTCACCATCCGGACGCAGGGCCTTGAATACCGTACCCACCGGGCTGTGCTCGCTGCTTGCAGCCACTACTTCAAGAAGCTCTTCACTGAGGGCGGTGGTGGAGCAGTCATGGGGGCTGGGGGTGGGACAGCCATTGGGGGAGCAGGGGCTGGTGTGTGTGAGCTGGACTTTGTGGGGCCAGAGGCCCTAGGTGCCCTACTTGAGTTTGCCTATACAGCTACACTGACCACCAGCAGCGCCAACATGCCGGCAGTGCTCCAGGCTGCCCAGCTGCTGGAGATCCCCTGTGTCATCGCCGCCTGCATGGAGATCTTGCAGGGCAGCGGGCTAGAAGCTCCTAGCCCTGATGAGGATGACTGTGAGCGAGCCCGCCAGTATCTGGAAGCCTTTGCCACTGCCACAGCCTCGGGAGTTTCCAATGGTGAAGACAGCCCTCCACAGGTGCCCCTCCCACCGCCGCCGCCACCACCTCCACCACCACCACCTCGGCCTGTTGCCCGCCGTAGCCGCAAGCCCCGAAAAGCTTTCCTGCAGACCAAGGGGGCACGGGCAAACCACCTAGTACCCGAAGTGCCCGCAGTACCCACCCATCCTTTGGCCTACGAGGAGGAGGAGGTGGCAGGCAGAGTGGGAAGCAGTGGGGGCAGTGGGCTGGGAGACAGCTACAGCCCTCCCACAGGGAATACCTCACCCCCTGATGAGGGGTCCCTGAGCTACGAGCCCTATGAAGGCGAGGAAGAGGAGGAGGAGTTGGTATACCCCCCACCATACAGGCTGCCGCAGGTCAGCCTGTCCCCAGAGGAGCTGGGCTCAGATGAGGATGCCATCGATCCTGACTTGATGGCCTACCTAAGTTCCCTGCACCAGGATGCCCTGGCACCAGGCCTGGATGGCCAAGACAAACTGGTGCGCAAACGCCGCTCCCAGATGCCCCAGGAGTGCCCCGTCTGCCACAAGATCATCCACGGGGCAGGCAAACTGCCACGCCACATGAGGACCCATACAGGCGAGAAGCCCTTTGCCTGTGAGGTCTGCGGTGTCCGCTTTACCCGGTGAGCACTAGTGGGGAAGGGTCCCAGCAGGGGTCATGTCATGGGGGGATGGAGAACGGTGTTACGAGACCTGAGGTGGGGAGGTAGGTGATCCTGGAGGGTCTGCTGGGGTACGGGCCACTGGAGTGAAGAGAGAGACCAGGATAGGAAGACCAGGAGAAAAGGAGTCAAGAGGGGCAGATCTGAGGCATGAAAGATTTGGTGTCTAAGAAGGCTGTGCTGGAGAGAGTGGGTGGTGGCTGGGCCCAGCTAAGCTGAGGACAGATCAGCAAGGGTATTCTGGGACAATAAGGGGGAGACAAATGTTGAGGATGGGAGTAGGACAAGGGCTGGGACAAGCCAAGGACCCCATTCTGAACATCCCTCTTGCCCCTTACCCCTGCCTGTACCAGGAATGACAAGCTGAAGATCCACATGCGGAAGCACACTGGAGAGCGCCCCTACTCGTGCCCGCACTGCCCAGCCCGCTTCCTGCACAGCTACGACCTCAAGAACCACATGCACCTGCACACAGGGGACCGGCCCTATGAGTGCCACCTGTGCCACAAGGCTTTCGCCAAGGAGGACCACCTGCAGCGCCACCTCAAGGGCCAGAACTGCCTGGAGGTGCGCACCAGACGCCGCCGCAAGGACGATGCACCACCCCACTATCCACCACCCTCTGCCGCCACCCAGTCGCCTGCTGGTCTCGACCTCTCCAATGGCCACTTGGACACTTTCCGCCTCTCTCTGGCTCGACTCTGGGAGCAGTCGGCCCCCACTGGGCAACCTGCCTCCACCCCGGGGCCCCCTGATGACGATGAGGAGGAGGGGGCGCCCACAACTCCTCAGGCTGAAGGTGCCATGGAGTCCTCTTAAAGAGGGATGAGTGGCCAGGCTGGAGCAGCACAAGGCTGGAGTGGGGGCGGGGTGGGGTGAGGGGGGGTGCACGGCGCCCATGCCAAGCAGTGGGAGCCTGCAGGACAGACAGAGCTGGGGTCAGAGCACTGAGCCTCCCTGGCGTCAGAAATCAGCCCCTTCTCCCCAGAACCCTCATTCCAGTTCCAAGCTGAGAAGGTTTTGGGGCAAAGGCTCCCCAGACTGGGGTGATCTCCCAAGGAGTGATCCATATATTATGTATATATTTAGAGCTCTATTGTAAAGGTGGGGTCCTTGTCCCCAGCTGTGCCTGGGGAGTAGAAGCAATAATGTATTTCTGATTTGTTGGGTCCCTCTTCGGCAATGCGGGTTTCTAGGGGGTGGGGGGCTTGGGACCAAAGCCTCGCCCTGCCCCCATGCCCCTTGGGGCTTTGGCTGTGTAAGGGGGTGAAGGACTGCCCCTCCCTTCCGAGACCCCTCCTTCCTGGTTTCTGTTCTCTTTTCCTGGCAGTGAATTATGCAAAGAGGGGCGGCAAAAGAAGGGTAGGTGGGGGAAAGCAAGGCAGAATCTTGACTGATTGGGGGACTGGACCTGTAAGGAAAGAGCCATCCTCGTCCCCCTCCGCCCTGCTCCCAGCGCTGAGTCATGGGGTCCTGGAGAAGAAGGGGGCGGGGTGGCTTGATTGGCTCGCCTTCCCCTGGGGGCAGCGGGAGGGGCCCCGCCCAGCTAGGGGTGCCGTTCTGCTCTCAGCCCTCCCCTCCCCTCCCGCGTCCCCGGGCAGGGAATGTCTTGTTCCCGCCGCCGCTCCCTCCCCGGGGCCAGAGGGCAGGGCGGGCCGGGCTGCGTCCTACCCTCTTCTCCTCCCCACCTCTTCCCCGCCCAGGTGCAAGCCGCTGCCGCCCCTGACTCACGCCGCCCCCGGGCTGGCGCGGCGCTGGGTGTGGGACAGGGTGAGGGGTTGGGAGAGCCTTGCAGAGAGCAGGCAAGCCGGCGCCATCTGGCGGCCATGCCCCTCACGGGCGAGCGCCCCCGGCGGCCGTTTCTCTGCCTTCCTCACCTCAACCACCCGCGGGCGAGCCGGGCCCCCTTCCTAAGGCAAGGCAGGTAACTTCTTGCTGGGCCACTGGGAAAGCGTGCTGTGGAGAGGTGGGAAGAGAATCCTTTTCCCAGAACCTTGCCAGCCAGGCTTCCTTCGGGTCCGAGAGAATAATCCCCTCACTCTTCTAAGATCGAATCTGCCCACTTCTGTACATAGCCTCTTCTGTCGGTCTTGTTGAAATCTAGTTTTAGATTTTTAACTACCCAATTCTGCTTGGGGGTAGGGTATCTGCCCTCCCCTTCCTCGCTGGGTGCTGGACCCTCATTGCAGCCTGGGCTCTGCCTTGCACTATTTTCCCTCCCTGGCCTGGCGGCCCCTCCCCCTCCTTAAAGGAGCAGATTCAGGGGCCCGGTGCTCTTCCTCCCTCCATGCACCCCCATGCCCATTTGCACAGCTGCCCAGGTACCCCCAATATGGGGGGGTCACAGGAAGGGGGGGTAATGGGACCAGTCCCTGTATCTATTTAAAAAGTGATAATGTAATATATTGGGGTGGGGGGGGTCAGATTGCCCTGGGCCTCATCTTAGCATTTCAGGTGATAGGGGAGCCCAGGACTGGGGAGACCTGGGGCCTATCCCCATGGAGTGAGGACAATGTGGCCTCCCCTCTCCCTCCTTGCGGCTTCTCCACTCAGTGCCTTAGTGGGGGAGGCAACCCCCCCTCTCCTTTTCCTTTCCCCTACCCCCCACCTCTGGTGTAAGCGACAGGAAGAAATAATAATAATTTAAGATTCACATTGTCCACCTTTGGTTCCTTTATTTTGGGGTAAGTGGGAGGGATCAGGAGGAGAGGGAGATGAGAGAGAGCCTGGAGTTCCAAAGCTGGTGCGGGCCTGCTTTGGGGGCAGAGGACTTCGGACATGGTCACTGAGGCTGAGAGGGCTTGGGAATCCTGCCAGGTGGGGGCTATGGTCTGTGCTTCCTCTGCCAAGGACCCCTTTCTTCGTCCAGGTCACTAGTGAGGCAAGGAAGACGGTGGCCCAGTCAGTCACCAACATTCTGTTCTCACAGGTGCATCCCTGCCCCTGCCCCATCTGCTCAGATTTGCCTCCTGTTAGACACCAGCCCCTGCCGCTCTCACAGTCCCCAGGCACACCAGCCCATGGCTGTGGCCGTCTGCGTTCAGGCTGATGCCGAGAGACCAGTGGGCAATGGCTTGCCTAAGGTCACATGTTAGGACATAACCAGTGATGACCTGCTTAAGCTCAAGCTGCCCCCTCTGGTGACTTGGCTTTTAACATCTGGGAGCCCTCTGGAGCCTCGAGAAATAAAGCTTGTTTTCCCCTTCAACCTCTCCTCACGTCACCACTCCCAGCCCCCTTCACAGGGAATGTGACCACAGGACATTCCTCCCAAGCAGAGGCTGCTTGCCTCTCAAACCCCACGGGCCAATGGCACTTTGCAAAGCCCCTGGCTGCCATGGCAGCCACACCACTAGGGCTTGGCTGTCTCCCCAGGCCTCCCAGATGTACTGCCACACCTTTCCAGGGTGCTGTCTCAGACTGGCTGTTTGTGTGGCCCAGCAGCCTTCTCATTGGAGGACTCATCCAACTCTGGCCTTTGGATCCTTGGCCTCCTTGCCCTAATGACCTTCACCTCTGCTCCCATGCGGGCGTGCCCCTCAACTTTGGCCACTCACTGGAATTATTCCATACTGCTTCCCGGGCTGCGGCTCATTCTCTGCCCCTCCTGGCCGCTGCCCGTGCTCTGACGCATCCTGACATGGAACAGAGACTTCCCCCTGAGGTCTCAGGCCCTTCTCTTCCCCAAGGCCAGTCATCTCGGACACCCTTACCGAAGAGACCTCAGTTCTCTCCCCATGTTGTCCTTTCCCTGACCCGCCCATAAAAAGCCTTCAACGCTTGAATCCTATTCATCCTACCACATTTGCCTGAAAACCACATAACTGAGCACACCGCTCAGTCATTACAGGTTATGGTTTTCAGCATCATCTAGGCCTTTAACGCTATCTGGAGACCCTTTAATCTCTCCTATCGGCATCTTTGCACACTCCCCAGAGCAGGTATTTCTCTTTCCACCACTTTGAAACCTCTCTTCCACTCCCAACCCCTCCTTTGTTCTCTCAGCAGACGCCCTTGCCTCCCACTCCCTGGAGAAAATCGAGGCCACCAGACTGGAGCTTACTTCACTCTGCTCAGAGGAGCATACGTCTCCCCTCCGGCGCGGGACAAGCGCACCCCATCCAAGGCCACCCTGTACACCTGGCTCCTGATCTCATCTTTCTGGGAGCCCTCTCTCTTCAATGCTCTTTTTTTACCTCCTAAATACTCAGGTCTCATTATCCTTGGATAAAGAAAAAATTCTTTAGTACTGGGTCCCCTTTGAGCTACCCTCTTGCCAGGTGAAGCTAACTGCCCCCTCTTCACCATCAAGGGTTCTTTTTTAAAATACAGCAGTGATTTTTTTTTTTTTAATTCTCAAACTTCTTGCAACAACCATGTGGAGTCTTGCACCCTGTTTCTGTTTCTGAGCCTTCTTCTATGCCAGTCACCCCTCAACCCACCGTGATCTGGTTTGCGCCTTGCCAGTGCCATGAAAAATGTTCGCAGCGGCCCCTCCGGTGACCTCTCAACCACCCAGTCTAATAGCTGGTCTTCAGTCCTCATCCTACTCAGTCATCTCACAGCATGTTACATGCTTGATTCTCTTATATTCTTGAGCCTCTACCTCCTCCTTGGTTTGTGATTGAACCCGTCGGCCTCCTGTCCCTGTTCCCTTCTCCTCTCCTGCCCTGCCCTCTCCCAGAACGATCTAACTCATCCCCCCTCTACAGTCTCTTAAGTCAGCAACCCCAAAATACCAACCCCCTGCCCCAGCGCCCTGACCTTTTCCAACAGTCTCCTGGGCATCTCCAGTTGAATTCCCTGTAGATACTCGAGGCCTTGAACTGAGCCATCCCTCCTTCCCCAAGCCTGCCCCCTCTCTCACCCTGGCACCTGCCTCGTCCCAAGCAAAAATTCCCAGTCACTCTCAGCACCTCAGTCCTGAGGCCACCACTGACTTCTCCTAAACTAGGACAGCCTCCTCTCTGCCTTCTTAGCTTATTGTCCTAAACAACAAATTATGAACATGTCACTTTTTGACCAAGGCTCTTCAGATGGTCAGTCATGCCTTCTCCCATCTCTCCCCACTTTGACTTCCAACTCACGTCTCAACATTCTCTGAGGCTTCCACCCAGACACGCACACGCCCTCCTACTAAGTGTCTCACATCCTCCAGACGGGCACAGGCCCCCCATCCCAGAAAGGTTTCCTCTGCTCTGGCCTGACAAACCACCAGGTTGCCCCTCGTCCCATCTTTATTCACCTCATCTCTGAAGCCTTCATTAAGGTGCCTCCATTCCAAATCAGTTGCTCTCTCCTCTGTCCTGCCCAGCGTGTGCTTCCCACCTTGAATGGGGCCTTCTCCACACTGTGGTCACTTGCCTATTTAATTCATTCTCCTCCCCACCTCCCCACCTTTGCAGTGCGCTCCTCCAGGGCAGGGGTGCTGACACGGCAAACCGCCTTCCCTCTCCTCTTTTCATCTCTGTCTCCAGCTCTAGCAGGGGGCCAGGCACCTGAGGGACCCTTTTTAAATGGGACAGAACACGCTTAGGCCTCCCAAGCCCCAACTCCTGCTTTCTGCTCACCTGAACTCAGAGCTGGACTCTGATGAGAGGGTCTTGCCCAGCGCTTCTTGGAGCCGTTGCCGCAGTAACCCCTCCTGCGCGGGGCCCTTTCTTCGAGCTGCAGCCAGCCACAGCCGGGGGCCTTCCTCGTCACTGGAGTCCCTGGAGGAGCCTCCCATCTCAGTGGCCCACAGAGGTCCTGGGGGAAGAGTAGCTGCCCCCACAGGCTCCAGCCACCCCATCTCGCTGGAGACTCACAGCTCCAGGTCCAGTTCTCCCTGGTAGGACAGGGGAGATGCACACACGGAGCAGGTGTTGTCCAGGAGGCGGAAGCAAGTGAGGCAGAAGAGACCTGGAGGGTGCCAGAAGGGAAGGTACACCTGAGCTTACCCTCGCTCACCCATTGTGCACCCTGGCTTTCTCCCCTACCCTGCCCCTGGGGGTCCACCCTTGGCAAGCCTGCACACCGAGGAATTGCTGCAATGCCACTTGCAATAAATTCTGCTCACACATGGGAGAAGCAAGGCAAACGTGGAAAGAGTGAGCTACCCGAGGGTTCTATGTAAATGAGAAGAATGTGCATAGTAATGAAGGGAAGGATACAAAAGGTGAGGTATAGGAGAAGCCCCTAAATGAAGGACCACAGCTGATTGTCATATGCAAAAATAGTCCCAGCAGGAAGAGGCATGCTGCCCAGGAATCTCACCTCGGCAGGCAGGGGTACTGCAGGACACAAAGTTCTCTGTGCCCGCCTCGTCCTGGGGCTGCCCACAGCCCAGGCAGTAGGCCTGGTGCTGCCAAAAGTGGTTCATAAATGGAGCCAGACAGAAGCACCTGAGGAGAGGGGTGCCAGGCCCTAAGCAGACCAGCCCAGCCAAGCTAACCGCCCACCGCTCCAGCACTACCCTCTAAACCAAGGGTAGGCCTTCCTACAGTCTAACCCCTATCCCTCCGACTGTAGCAACAACCTCTCTGCTTCCTGTCCTCCTCCTCCTCCATTAGTCCCCACCTCCAAGAAAGCTCATCCCTCTCAGTGCAAGAATGACATGGAGCGGGCGTCCTCTCCAACCTAACCTCTGGACACTCTGGAAGGACGATGATCCATTCTGACTTCTGGCTCTTTTGGGTCCCCTCTTGCCCCACTCCTCTAAGGAAGGGCAGTAGGCTCACCGTCTGGCCAGGACCTGGAGGACGCTCACATGGCCCTGGTCGGCTGCCCGCCGCCTCACTGCTCTGTGCAGGTTGGCCAACAGGTTGGTTCGGCGGCTCAGAAGTACGTTGTAGAGGTAGGAGATCCTCTCCTTGTGGAGGGCAGATCAGGGATACAGTCCCCTTTTTCCTCTTTCATCTGCCTGGCATGCCCTCTGCACCCATCCCCACTCCCTACCTTTGTCTTCTGTCCAATTCCTATGAGTCCCTCTGGGCTTGGCTCAAAAGCCCCTTCCTCTGGAAAGCCTTCCAGGCTCCCCTAGGTAGTTGCCCATTCCCTCCTCTGGGTTTCCATAGCACTTCATTCATTCCTTAATAAAAACACTTGTTTACTTGCAATGTCCTCTTAAGAGCCTACCTGGCCTGCCTGGAGGCTGTGAGCTCTAGGCTGTGTCTGGTTCACCTTGGCATCCTCGAGGCCAGCACAGGGACTGGCACACACTAGATGCTCAGTGAATGAATTGTAAACAAATGGGCAAACGGGGAGTTTCCACTCACACCTCAACATGCCAACAACGTCCCTTCCCCCATGGCTTTAACAGCACTTGGGAGGCAAGCTCTGTTTCAGGAAGCCCTGCCCCAAGAGGCCCTATTCATCCCAGCCCCATCTGGCATCTAGAGACCTTCAGCCTGGGTAATTTGCTGTGGGGTTCAACCAGAGGAGACTCAAACCTCCCCAAAATCAAAACAGCCACAAGCTTAGCTCCCTGGGGCGGGGGACAGGGACTGGCTGTGGGCCTCTCACCTGCTCCCGGGATGGATAGTAGGAAGCACAGATGACCCGCCGCAGCCGACCAACATAGTTTCCAAACAGGGTGATGAAGAAACATAGGCCATACATGATGCCTGGGGGCACAGTGGGCACAGTAGCCGCTGCCGGTAGGCGCAGGTGCCAGCCACATACACCCTCAGCAGTCTGCACCCCTCACGCCCTGAGTGGGGTCTATTTCCCCAGGGCCCTCAGGGATGTGGTTGTTACCAATGACTACATAACCAGTGGTGTTGGGCTCCGAGGGACGCAGGAGACAGCGCCGGGACAAGATTGTGATGTTGCCTTGCTGCAGGACATCGAATGCCGATACCAGGTCACGATAAATCTTCCCAGCATAACCGTTGCCTTCCACAGTGATGGACACTAACACAGGGCCTGGCATGAAGACACCGTGTGAGGCGCACTGTGGCAGTGGCCCACTCCACCACACAGGAAAGGCCACCCTTCTGGAGGGCAGAGAGTGGAGCAGTACAGGCCTGAGGGATGGCTTAATGTCCTCAGCCAGTGAGTGGCCTTTGATGCACCTGGCACCTGGGACTGGTTCCATGGTGCAGAGCTGGGTGGACTGGTGCCTGGTCTGGCTGCCCAGGCCACCAGATCTGAGGTGAACTTAATGGTCATTTGAGTCTCTCCCCCACCTCCACAATTGCCCAGAAGCATTTGATTTAAAGCATTTGTTGAACACTGACTATGTAGCAGGCACGCACTAAGTGCTTTATTGATTGACGTGTTTTTTACTTTTTCTGTTGGTCCTCTGTACCTAGGATTAAAGTCATTGAATTCTGTGGCTTTCAGCTCACTCAATCAATGGTCTGCCAGGCAGTCAACACACATGGTCTCATTCAGTCCTTAGAGTGACCTAGAGAAGTTGCTGCCATTATTATCCCATTGTCCAGATGAGGAAGCTGAGGCTCTGGGAAATTAAACAACTTGCTTGAGGTCACCATCTGGTAATGGGCAGAGCTGGGATTAGAACTCAGGCCATCTGACTCTACAGCATGTAACTTTAACTTCTCTGTTATGGTATAAACTTGACCTGGACACAGGGCTTACTGGGCAGAGGCTAGAGTTAGAAGAAGGGTAAAGTCGGAGACCGGTAAGTAACAGTGACGGGGTGGGGTGGGGACATTCAGGCAAACCAGCAGGACTGGGAAGGTGGAGAAGGTGCAGGAGCAGGCCAAGGGGGCTGCGCTGGGGTGGGGAGGGTTAGGCACTTACTGCGGGCCACGATCTCCCCCTGCAGCTGGTGCCGGGCCAGGTCCAGCACCCAGAAGACGGCATAGTCCAGGAAAATCAGGAGCAGCACGAGAAGGAGGTGCCGAACAAGGTGGAAGATTGCCAGGACGTAAAAAATCTTCTCCCACTGGGACATGAAGATGGAACCTGGGTGGGGAAGGGCTGGTCAGGAAGACGCTCCCCGGTCCTCTCACCCAGCAGACCCCAGACCCTGAAAGGGTGTCTCTCCTGCCCTTGATCAAGCTGGGACCTGTGTGCTCATCTGGAAGGTACGGAAGCTGTGAGGGCCGCTGGCAGGATGGGAAGGACTGTGCAAGGGCAGGGCCTCTGTGGCTAGAGGTAGAGGCCTAGCACCTGCGCCTGGGCCCGGTGGCCCATTTCCAGTCTCCAGGAATGCTCTCTCCTGGGGCATCCCTGACCCCCACGCCTGACCCCTGCCTCACAGACAGACCCCACAAGCTGCATCTCCTCCATATTGCCCCATCCACACTTCCTGCCCACCCCCAAAGTGTTCCCGACCTCACTTTCCTGCCTCTGTGTCCACTCCCCATGTCCCCTTCCCTCTGCCCTGACCCAGGTGATCCCAGAGGCGTCTTCTGCCCCACCTCTCTCTGCCCACTGTGAGGGGCCCTGCGTTCCCCTCTCACACTGAGGGCTCCTTAAGGACTGAGCTGGGTCACTCCCCCACCCCCAAAACCGCCTTAAGCTCTGGGTTGCCTCTCCCCACTCTGACCCTGCCCACGCTCAGCCTGTGCATGAGGTTTAGGGTCAGGGCAGTGGGGGTGGGGCAAGCCCAGTTCTCAAGGTCCTCACCTGGCTGGATATAGTGTCTGGCCTCATGGGCACTGAGCGGCAGCACCGTGGGCAGTCCCGCCATGGAGCGGACAGACTCCATGCGCAGGAATCGACTGGTGATATAGATGTTGTCATAACTGTCCCAGTTCAGGTAACAGTACCGGTAAAACAGGGCTCTGGGGGAGCACAAGTGAGGCCCCTCAACACCCCTGACAAGACCCCACAGGGTGCCAGCCTTCCCATGCCCCCACCCGGGAACTCCGGCCTCCCAGACCGCCACGGGGGTGACCTAGCCCCAGCAGCCTGAGGCCCCGCCAGCGCCGCACTGGAGGTAGAGAAGCACAAACAGCAGAGGCGTGGTGTAGCCCATCAGAGCCAGGGCCTCTCGGACATGGTACAGCTTCATGCTGACAGCTTCCTGCAGGTCCAGAGCAACCTGGGACAGGCTCCGAGAGGCATTGAGATCCACAGAGAAGTAGTGGGTGGCTGTCATGTTGAACTCAAATTCTTGACGCACCCGGTTAATCAACTTCTGCACAGCTGGAGCCAAACAGGTCATGAGAGATGTGAGTAAGGACAGTTAGGAGGAGACAGAGCCTCGCCTGGGGGAGGGGACTGGCACAGCCCGGGGGCCACACAGCTTACAGACCAGCCAGGAACCCCCAGGGTTTGGACCTGTAGTGGACTCAGGAAAGGACAGACTCCACACTGCCTGCTCAGCACGAGCACTCCCATCTCCGCAATGACCTTCCCAGGGGCAGGGACCCTGGTTCTTCTCCTGTTCTACAGTCGAGCTTCGATGAGGCACCTCCCCTTCGCTGGGCCTCAATTTCCTAATCTGCACAGCACACACATTGACCAAGGTAACCGCCTGAGGTCCTCTCCTGCCCTTGCATTCTCGTCCATGGACTGGGAGCGCTCCCGGTATGGCAATCACCGTACCAGGATGAGGAGGGAGACCTCGCAGGAGCACCACATGCAGCAGGGCTCAGAAGGGTCACTTACGGGTGCCTATGGTCTTGCGCAAGAAGGGTTGAACGTACTTGGGGATGATGCAGAACACCTGGACCACTGAGAGCCAGAGACCCAATGTCAGGCGGGCATAGAGATGCAGCCTGCCTCTCCTACTTCCAGGGTCCTTGTTCTCAGGGGGCCCTCTCGACCTTTTGCTTTTCCTACTGGCCTCAAAATCTTCGGTTCAAAACCTTTTGGCATCTCCCTATGACCCCGCCCTCCCACATTGGTTTCTCATTGTTACCCTCCTACCCTGTGCTGGGCCAGCATCCTTATTGACCCCATGTTTATCACCCCCTAGTGGTCCCTTGGGCCTACCCTCCCAACTGACCCCTATATTTGCCAGGCCCCCAATCCTGCCAGCCAGCCCCTGGCTCTCTCACCACTGGCAAGTCCACAGAGCCCCAGTTTGAAGGGCATGAGCACGTAACACAGGTGGTAGGCTTGCGGTATGGCCTTCATGCAGCTGTCCTTGGCATCATCGAAGACCCGTGCACACTTCAAGTAAGGGTTGCCCAGCTCTGAGTTGCATACGTCGCCGATGTGCAGGAGCCAGTACCACACATTGCGCAGCGCCCTGGCTGAGGACAGCTGTGGGGCTGGTACCCAGGGCTGGAGACCTGCAGCATCTCCTCAGGGGGTTGGGGACCACCAGGAGAGCACCCAGAGCTGGAGAGGACTGTGGTCAGGGGTCTGGGGGTGCTGTATCTTTAGGGACTAGTTAGCACCCAGGAGGGGCCCAAAAAATCCTGGAGAAGGGTGAGGATGAGGAGATGGGGTGAATCTTGACCCCCCCCCATCCAAAATAGATACGTGACTGTGCTGACCTACGTGCTTCACGCCATCCATGATTGACCGAAAGAACTTGCGAACCTGGTCAGCCACCTCTTTGGCCTTTTGCGCAATGGCTTTAATCTTATTCAGGGCACCTGAGAGGCAGGAGGCAGGGGTGCTGTGGAGTTTCCTCCTCTAGGGGCTGGCTCTTACCATGGTCCCTGGGGTAGGAAACGGAAAGGGGCTGCCACTGGGAGTCGGGAAGCCTGGATGCCTAATCTGGTAGTGGAGTAGGCGAGAGAGCACGGATGAGGGGATGTAGTTGGGCACTTTGCGGTTGGGGACCGGTACCAGCAGAGAGGAATATAGCTGGAAGGTCCTAGAACATACAGGACAAGGGGGACATTGGAGACATGGGAGGCCTTACTGACAAGGGGCTGTTTAGCTCGCTCCAGCATTTCGGCAGTCTGGTTCAGGGCCAGCTCTGCCCCACAGGCCACGGCCTCGCTGGCTTGGGTGAAGTTACGCAGGGTGTTGGCACAAGGCCCTTGCAGCACCAACCCAAAAGCAGCCACCAACAGCAGTGCCCGGCCCTGCCCTGCGGGGGCAGCTCCGTCAGAAGCAGGACCCGAGCCCTGCACACAGCAGCACACCCAAGTCCCTTAACAGAAGCCTTCAGAGCATTTCCCTCCACCCGCGCCCCCAAGATCCATCCTGCCCCAGCCCCTGTCCCAGACCTGCCCTTCCCACTGGGCGCTAAGCTCACGGGAGAAGGCCTGGGGCAGCAGCAGGAGGACAGTGACCCGGACCTGGCGAGAGAACCCCATGCCCAGGCCGAGGAAGGCGGCCAAAGTCAGCGTGCCCACCAGGCAGCCCCAGGGGCTGTGCCCTTCCACCAGCAGCCCCAGGAGCCCATAGGCTGTGGCCAAGGACAAGCCCAGGCTGAAGCCCCCCAGACTGCGGACCACCGCCCGCGCCATGCTGGGCTCCTCTGCCCCCAAGGGGCGCACAACATCCTTCAGGGCTTTGGACATAGCCGCTGAGACCAAATGTTTGCCTCTCTCCAGGAAACAGTCACCAGGTTCTGAGGCTCTTAAAGGGTCCTGGAATTTCTCACTATATTCTAAGGTTCCGGGCCTTTGACTGTGTGTATGTTGGAATCCCTTCCCCAGTTGGGAAGAGAAAGCTAAATCTCTAATCTCTGTCCCTGCATCCCAGAGCAGAGGGGGGATTGGAAGACACAGATCTCACAGAGGTTGTGGGTGAGGCAGAGGAGACGAGACAGAAGCAGAACCTCACATCTCAGGACAACCCTTCAGGAGACTTCCAGGGTGAGACACGATTCCTCAGCACAGACTATGGACATGAGACTTCATCAGAATGGAGCCAAAGGGCAAAGGAGGAGACTACCTCACACCAGTGAGTTCATCATCGGGGCACCGCCCTTCCCAGCCCCTCCTGCCCCCAATCCCCTCATTTACTATCTCCTTCAGGACCCCCTTTCCCCATGCCTTGGGGTTCACAACCCTCTCATCAATGTCCTCCTTCAGGTGAACACTTTCTTCTCCTTTCTCTCATATCTGCCCCACTTCCTTTAGGATCCCTCTAGTTTCTGCCACCCTCATCCAGGTTCCCCTGGCTTCTACTCCCCAGCAAACCCCTAACCTTAATGAACCACATCCCGTGCAGAAGAGCAAGGGATTGGCCCGAATGGGCTAAACTCTTTGACCCCTCAGCAGTGCAGAGGCTGCTGAGCTGGGGGCTGCCCACATGCTGTAGCCGGTTCCTGTGGCGCCAGCCAGGCGAGTTTCCGGTCACTGCTGTCCTCCTAGGGGCAGGCACCGGGGGCCTCCTGGCCCTAGGTGAGTGTGGAGCAGAGGTCAGGGGTGGGACCCATCTTTTGATCTTGACTTGACCCAGTCCCCTTAGGTCTCTTTCAGCTCCTGGTGAACCCTATGAACATCTATGAAGATCAGAAGATAATGATGTTGTACAGCTTGGTAGGTTAGTGCTGGGCTAAGGACAGGGACATCCAAGGGGCCTGTGGGACATGGCCCAGTCCCGAGTACTCAGGAAGGAGTCTGAGCTTGGTTCTTCTGTACCCAAATGTCCCTTGTGGTCTCAGCCTTGTCTTGGGCTTTGAGGAGAGATCCAGAGGGAAGAGGTCCCCAGTGTATGGAAGGAGGTACAGTCCTTACCCTTTAGGAGTCTCTCCAATCTGAAGGACTCCCTATAACCCACATGATGCAGTCCAACCCCCACGACTCTTCCTAATCCTCATCTCTCCTCACCTCTCTGGCCTTCTTTCCTGCTCCTCTTGATAAGTTCAATTCATTCATTCAGCACTAACTGCGCACCTGCTGAGAATTCAGCGGTGGGCAAGATTGACAAGCACTCAGCTCTTTTGGAGTTTACGTTCTAGTGGAGAGCGTTACATATTAAATGAATAAGAAGTAAGTAAGAGCATTTCTAATAGTAACAGTGGTATGAAAAATAGTTAACCAGGGGACTCTGGTGGAAAGGGGCTGGGGGCTCCCCTAGCTTGAGTAGTTAGGGAAGGCTGCTCAGAGAGGGTGACATTTGAACGTCGGGGGGTATTGAGCTGTAAGAACAGAAAACCCACTTAAAAGCAGTATAACCACAGAGAAAGTTTATTATCGCATATCATATGTTTCAAGTTGGAGTGGAATTTGGAGTTTGGATAATTCAGCAGTTCAGTAAAACTCCCAAGGACTCAGGTTCCTCTTACCGTTTTTCTCTGCCATCTTTGTTCCATCGACCATGAAGTGGCTGCAGAGACTCCAGGCATCACATCTTTCTGCAACAACATCCAAAGACGAGAGCATTCCCTCCTGTTGTCTCTTGTAAGAACAGGAAAACTTTCCCGTAATCCCCCAGCCAGCTTCCCTCATGCGCCGCCGTTGGTTGGCACTGCGGCACGTGCCCTTTCCTAACCCTGTTCCACGCCAGGAGCACGGCACCGGCATCGCCACCAGGTTGTTGAATGAACCGATCTCTATGGGACACCAACAGGAAACTGCTTTATCTCCAGCCACTGTGTTCAAACCTGTTCTTTCACTGATGACCTTTCATGTAGTCTCTTAGTTTTCTGGTTATTTTCATCTAGAAGACCTAGCCCTGCTTCAGTAATGATGACTATTTTTAGGTTTAAATGACCCAATCCAATCCATATCAAAATTTCAATCTCAAGCCTCTTCCCTCCTTCCCACCCCATCCCCTCAGACCTGACCTCTGGTGGGGGTCCTGTAGTGGGATGGGGGGCGCACAACCGATCCTTCACTTTTTTCTCCACTTCCTTCCCTTCTGTTTCTTCTGATGTCAGAAAGGGGATTAGAAGAATTAGAGGAAAAGGGACAAAAGTCTGATGTCACCAGTACTGTTGTAATTCGTCTATGCGGCAGGTGCTCATACCCTGGCTGTCTCAGGGGCCCAACTGCGGTCTCTTTGGAGGCTCTGTGTGGACCTTGCAGGGCCCAGGTTTCTGCTGAAGTCAGCTCTGTTTAGCTGACCTTGAACCAAGCTCCCCGCCGCTCCTGCAGGTAAAGCACAGCCTCTCGTTTTGGGGACTCCTCCCCTAGGCGGGCGCTCTCTTGGATGGAGAACCTCACAGATGACTTGAGGCCTGCTGCCCTCCAGAATGGCCACTTGTCCCAGAGGAAATGCGCACTCTTAGCCCCGCCAGACTGAGAAAGCAGGGCACCTTGCAGCTGCCCGCTCTCCTGCCGTGATAAGAACGCGTAGCATTCTCGCTCCATGAACTCTCCCTGGGCTCCCTGCTCTGGTGGCAGCCCAGTTTCTACAGCTCAACAAGAGTCTAGTCCAGGACAGATGACCAGGTTCCCCTGCTTGAAGCCCCAGTCTCAGTAGGGTTCTCTTGGAGCCTCTCTTTTGATATGGGGAAGTGGATGTCCATCCCTTTCACAGATTCACCCGCTTTGTCTGCCTATGCCAACCATTCCTCTCCAATTCCAGAAAATTCAAATTTCTGGTCTTGTCTTTATATAGACTGGTTAGGATGGAGGGGTGAGAGACTAGCTTTGCTCTTTCTGGGAGTCAGAAGAGGGGGTCAGCGGCTCCATGGGCTCTCTGTAGAATGTAAGACAACTCTGCCAACTATCATCCTCAGTTGAGTCTTTGGCCAAAAGGCCAAGACCACAGAAAAAGCCCCTTTCAATGTTCTTTTTTACCATGACTGGGTTAGACAAACCCAGATTTACTCCCAGGGGCCGGAGCAGGGACAGGCCATTGTCCTTGAACAAAATTCAACTTATGTTAGCAAGAAAGAAGACAGAACAAACTGCTGGGTGGCACCTGACAGGGTTTGCAGCAAACCTGTATGACTACGTGGGACCAGGCAGGTGAAGAATAGGGGGAGGAGTGCTTTTGGCAGGGGAGCAGCCAGGACAAAGACCTGAGAGGGAGGGTGAGCTCGGCATGTTCTGGAAACAGCAGCAAGGTCTGTGTGGGTGGACACAGTGGGCGAAGGGCTGAGTGGCATGAGATCACTTCAGAAGGGAGGCAGGGGCCAGATCACAAAACCCTGTAGACCACGTTCAGGGAATTTGGATTTGATCCCGAGTACGATAGAAAGTCATTGGATTGTTTGAAGCAGAAAGGGGGCATATCTGATTTATGTTTTTACAAGATCGCTCTGGCTGCCTTATGAAATCAAAGAGAAGAAGTAGGAGGCTAGTTAGTCCCGGTGAGAGACGATGGGGATTCTGTGAGGGCAGAAGAGATGGAGTGAACCATAAAGACTTGGGATTTGCTTTGGAGATCCTGGGATGCACACTCTACCAACACAGGAATTTTCTAGGTTCCCTGACCAGCTTACGCTGTTACTTTGGCCTGGAATGCCGTCTGTGCCTCCTAATGACACTTACTCATCCTCCAGGCCCAGCTGACACATCATCTCCTTTGTCCGTCCTTCACAGCCCCGCCCCTCCCTGCAGAAATGCCCACTCCCTCCTTTGCTCCCACAGCTCTTCATAAGCACCTCCCTGTGCACTGAGCGCATTGCGCTGTAGTCATTTGTTTACTCGTCTGTCTCTCTCCCTGGATTATGAGCTTCAAGCAGCTCACTGTCTCCTTTCACAGACCACAGGGAGACACATGTGAAACTGCTAAAACATAGCAGGAGGTACATGCTTAAGGGCTAAATTAGGGACAGAGATGGCGCTGCTGTAGGTGTCAGAGCATGGGAAATGTTGAGGCGGCTCTGACCCACCTCCCTTCTGACTGCTCAGAGCACCAGTGCCTGTTTCCAGAATTTTTCTCTTATTCTCTCTGCTCCCCCAGGACATAGGGTGAGCATGAATCCAGCCTGGATACAGGAGCTATTGGCCCCCTTCTCTAACACAAACACACACGCTCATGTACATACACAAAGTCAGTCACCAACCGTGGCTTTTCCATTTCTAGCCATCTTTCCAAGCCCTTCTAGAGGCTGGCACACAGCAGAAGTCTGTAAATGGCTGTTGCATAAGTTAATGAATGAGTGGCCTGGAAGGCCTAGCAGAGTAAGTGTAAATGGGGACAAGAGCAGTACAGTGGTTGTTCTAGAAGGAAGTTGGGCGGCGGGGGTGGGGGGCTCTGGTAAACCCGGTAGACAAACCAACTTCCTCACTCTGCCTCACCACCCCCTGGGCTCTCCTGACAGGCTTTGGGGCTGTGGGCTGGGGGACCTCCCCTCATATCCGTTGTGCCAGTCTCCTGCTAGTACCCAAGATGCTGGGCAAAGAAGGCAGGCTTTTTGTGCTGGGATATGCCTTGGCCGCCATCTATGAGGGTGAGTGTGCCCCTGGGTACCAGGTAGTGCTGCCAAAGCCCTGGGCGGGAACACGCAATGGGAGCCAGGCCTGGAGAAGGAGAAAGGGTGGGAATCTAATCTCAGCTGCTCCAACTTGCTGTGTGTCCTCCCCTCCCTCTGGGCCTCCTTAGTTTACACAGGTGAAAAAACCAGGGGTTGAATGAGATGACCTCTCACAGGCTTCTGGGCTCCATCATAAACAGT